GTTAAACACAACTGAATCACGAACAGAAAGATTGTTTCTGTTTAATATCTGATTAAGAGACTGAAGTCCTCCATCACAGTGACCCATCATGGCCTAAAATAGAGTTCAGTGTTCCTGCCTTCTTTCAGGCCTGTCCGAGACCTGCTTTGAGGCAGTAACTCCTGTTTCTTCACTCGAGGTGACCCCTTTCTCTGAAACTCTCAAATGGTTTCAGAGAAAGAAAATAAAGCTGCTGGAATGGCCCAGCCAATCACCTGACCTGAATCCAACAGAAAATCTATGGAAAGAACTAAAGATCAGAGTTCATAGAAGAGGTCCACGAAACCTTCAAGATTTGAAGACTGTGTGGAAGAATGGGCCAAAATCACACCTGAGCGATTCATTTCTGGACATTTATGGTTTGATTTCTTTGTATGTATGGATCACTTGGGTTGTTACCGACATTTGGTGAAAATTTCATGTCATTAGCGCCTCTATTAATATATTTACTGAGAAAAATGGTGACGTGTTCAATACTTATTTTACCCGCTGTGTATATACATATTATATATATATGATATACAGTATATAAACATTGTCACTAAAGCTAACAGACTAAGAAGCAGCTCTGTTGTCCTCCATCCACATTTTCTGGACATTTATGGTTTGATTTCTTTGTATGTATGGATCACTTGGGTTGTTACCAACATCTGGTGAAAATTTCATGTCATTAGCGCCTCTATTAATATATTTACTGAGAAAAATGGTGACGTGTTCAATACTTATTTTACCCGCTGTATATGACATTGTAAAAATTTTAATCAAGTCAAAGTTACCCAAATGCAACAAGAGAGTTAAATCTGTCAACTTAACCAGTTAATTTCTAATGTGTTAGTGCAGATGATATCATTTTATTGGGGGGTTATATTGACTGGATCAAATTATTGTGGGGGTCATAACCCCCCTAAACCCCTGCAAATTACGCCTATGATCATATTATATCATATCAGGGTTTCCCGCAGCGCAATTATAAGCCTGGCAGGTCGCCAGGCTAAGCTTCATTTGTTTACTCAGAGCGGACGTCGACCCACGGAGCATGTGCTAAATTAGTAAAGTTAAAAAGCTATCGTAATGACTCTCAGTGCGGAAAAAAGCAGTCATAGTCACTTAAAAACTTTTGAGAGTTCAATAATTTGTTTTAAAAAAGGTGGGCAGCTGCAACTCGATGGACCCACAGAAAAACACTCCTCCATCGTCTCTCTGTCCCAGCCGGCTGCAGGCTGCGGGGCTCTCCTCTCTCCACTCACACAAGTAGCCCCTCCCTCCCCTGAACATTAACCCTTTAAGGCACAGATGTTATAGCTTTACCTCCCAGAACAGCGAAACAAATTATTGAGTACAAATTCTCTCAACTGTGGATATTTTTATAGTGGAGAAATGATTAAATTTGTGTAAGAAGGTATCTGTGTTTCAGGATTTTTTTGGGCGTGTCTTAAAGGGCAGCCTCGTGATGTCACACAGCTGCCTTCAGTATAACCCCGCCCCCTGTTGCTCTAATGGAAAAGAAAACAAACATTGTTTCCTCGGTTACAGGGAAGTTCAGGGTCATGGGCGTGGTTTAAGCTCCTCCAACGGACACGCCCCCAGCATTCCAGACCACAGCTAACCGATATTTTTTCATTACTTTTAACACATAATTTTATAAGGTTAACAGTATTTTTGATTGTTCAAACTTGGCTGGGTGATTATTAACACATACTGTATTTCTGTGGTATGACAACCTCAGAACACACATTTATTTTACTTTACATGGTCTTTAAACTAGTGAGTGAACCTTGCTCAGTAAAGAAGTGCATGATTCAAATACAATTAAATTCAAAAATACTTTATTGATCCCAGAGATAAATTAGATAATAAATAGAATAGAATAGATAATAATAGAAATAGGTGAATATTTCTATTATATATCTTGACTTTGTAGTTTATTCAGTTGACTACAGGTTGAAAAGGATTTGCAAATCATCCTATTCTGTTTTTATTTATGATTAACACAATTTCCCAACTTCATTAGAACATTTTTCATCATTCTTCTGTTTAAATTGTCATTTTTAAATTCATCTTGTCTGCAGCTTTAAAAAGAACAGAAAAAATACATCAAACATGCAGGTTTTGAGCAATGTGCTACCACCTTTAGTAATAGAAAATTGTACAGTTTAGATAAAGTTTTCAAAAACTGCTAAAATCTGTTCACATGCACAAAGAGATGAATGAGAAAACAACCAACAATCAGAGCTTTAAACAAGTCACAGAAAATTCAACTTTAACTAAACCAATATTTAGATTTTCTTTACACACTAATATTTTAAAGTGTATCTTACCCCCCTGTGAAAAGATAACTCCGCCCCAAGGCGAAATTTGAAAAATGCATCAAAGTGGGTAGGGGAGTGGGGGTTAGAGAGCGGAGGTGTGGCCAGGACGAGAGAATGCGACAGGCAGCTAGCATTAGCATAATTGATGCTACATGGAAAGTGACCACAGTATCGCAGATATTTACATCTCTGAACGGTCTGCTGCGGACATGAAAGTGCCTGCTGCGACAGAGATACAGATATATATAT